GATCTTCAATAGAAAATGTAAACATTGGTGTACCCCAAGGCTCCATTCTTGGTCCTTTGCTTTTCTTACTTTATGTAAATGATCTTCCAAATATTTGTAAAACAGCACAATGTTTACTGTATGCAGATGATACAGTCTTCATTTTTGAAGGTGGAACAGCGTTCCAGCTTCAAAATACATATGATTGACGTTGAATTGCCCATTATATGCACGTGGTTGCAAGCAAATAAACTTAGCCTCAACACAAAGAAAACAGTGTATCAAATCTACAATAATACACTCAATCCAGCAGAACTTAATGTAACATTAAATGGTGATCCTATTGAGGCTGTTCAATCAGTCAAGTACTTAGGAATGATTATAGATCCGAACCTTAAATGGAATCTCCATATTGACCACTTAACAACAGTTATCAGTCGTAACATTGGGGTAATGAGCAGAGCAAAATTTTTCCTTGATACTCATTTGCTAACTCTTTTGTACAATTCACTGGTCTTACCATATATCAATTATTGTTGTGTGGTGTGGGGATTTACATTTCCTTCTTACTTAAACAAAATTGAGTTGCTTCAGAAGCGAGCCATTCGTATTATTACTCATCAACATCGTTTAGCACACACAGAGGAAATTTTCAAAAGCCTTAAGCTTCTCAAAGTTCATAATATAGCAAAACAGCAGGCTATTATCTTAATGCACAGAAAACTTTCTCTTTCTCTCCCATCATCTGTTGGTGGATTATTTACCCTTAGTGACCCTAGCGATTCAAGGACCAGAAATCGTCAACAGTTCATTGAACCATTTATAAAAAGATTATACTGCACTCGTAATGTAACATGGCTTGGGCCTCGCATCTGGAATAAAATTATGGCAACTCAATTTAACGCTCAATGCATTATCAACATGTCTAAATTGCAAGTAAAGAAAATAAGTAAGGAGTATTTCCTAGAACACCCTGTGTAGCTTTTGTTTACATAAGTTCAATAATCAATAGTAAAATATGCAAATAAATAAGGTACTTTCAAATAGAATACTATGCATGCGTTGTATCACGTTGTAGTTTTTTATTCAACTCCTCCAAACACCTACTCGTATAGCGTAGCCTGTCAGCCATAGTGACTGTGGCTTACACCGAACCCACCCTTACGGCGTTGTGACCGGTGACCCCGACCAGCAACAAGCTCTGCTTAGCTGGAAGGGTTCATCCGGTCACACATGACCTTTTGCAGAATACTGACCAGAACCTGTGCTTTGTGTGTATGTATGTGTCCCTTTACTAACCCTGAATGAGTGTTCTTTTACATCATAAAACATGGTATTGGAAGTAGTGATTTAGTCTCCCGCTGCTTTCAGCGGGGACATCTTTTGCCGTTTTTTTTTCTTCTAACTAACCATACTTCCTCTTACCGACTGGTTGCTTATTTTGAGTTGTTTTCCTTTTCTTAGCAGGGAGTGCCGCGACTTTGCCATTTTTATGTTTTCTCTGGTGGTAAAGTAAGGTTCTGTGAGTCGCTGGGCTGAGGGAGGGGGCACTCCTGGTCACCTATTAATGGGTGGCGGTGTAGTTAGAAAAAAAAAAGATAAACTGCAGCACCACCGCAACGTGAAATGAGCACGGCGGGAGAACTAGCAGAACGTTTCAATCGGCGCTACCCCGTCCCAGGCCAGTGATCTATGTGCAAACAAAGCCTGCTAAACGGTTCAGGTGAACGAGTGCTGGCAAGGTCATCACTGAAGCGGCGCAGGGTTCGCCTTCGCGTAACGCGGTTCGCCAACCCCACCCGGGGCGCGTGATATTTCACGGGACCGTGGCCCGATCAGGTCACAAAACCGTGCTCTGGTGACAACATTGGACCTAGATATGATGATGTCACGGGGCCACGATCTGATGACGTCACAGGGTCGTGGCCCGGTGACGTCACATAACCCGGCGCGGGCGTGTGTCGCCGTTTCGCGCTCGGCCGGCGGCGGCGGCGTCAGTTACGCAGGCGGCGTCACAGCATTGCGCAGCGTCGGGCGCCCGGTGCGGCCACGGAGCGACGAGCCGACCCGACCCGACCCGACCCGACCCAACCGACCGACCCGGTCAGGCCAGCGTGGACAGCCGGGGTCAGACCAGGTGTCAGAGGGCGAGCCGTCGCGCCGTTCAGGGAAAACAGTGCCTCAGTCGCCGGCGTCGTTTAGGTTAATTCTGGCACGGCCCAAGGACCGCCGGATGTGCTCTTGGAACTGTGATGTATTCGGCCGATCGTAGTTTGATGGCGGGCGATACCCTGCCGACCTGCCGCGGACTGTGCGGAGCCGGGGCGCACTGTTGGCGACCTTCTGACCTCGATACGGCCCGGCCGCCGCCGCGGGCCCCACTTTACGGCCCGCCGCGCCAACCGAAACAGCACTGCTTCGCTGCATAGCGCCGTTTATATTTCGCAAACGGCTTCCAGTATCTAGAGGTTGGGTTCAAGAGCGAGCAGCAACCAGTTTCGAAATGGCGAGTCACATCTGGATGACGGGCTCCTGTAGCTGTGTTTGATGGTAAATTGATAGGGGCAAAACTGGCCGCTGCGGTGACACTGGTGACAAGTGCAGAGTGATATTGATGAGTTCCGATTACCTCATCCACAGACCTGTGTATGCCTCGGTATACCTCGGTATACACAGGTCTACGCCTCAACGTTAGAAACGCGAACGGCTGCCGGACAGTCAAGAGTACAACTTGTAAAATATCAAAATGGTGCGGCATCTTACCTTGTCAATTTCAGCACTATCACGTATAAAATTGTGAAGGTGAAGCCCAGCTCCCATTGTGACACCCACGAAATGGAGAGTGAATCGAATCGTGTAGTATGTTGCGGACATGAGTTACCAGTAACGGTACCTAGTCTGCTGATAATTCGTTCAAATGTCACCAATGTCAACAATGTAAGGTTTCGTAAGGAAATAATTCGTTTTCTCTCTGAAAACATCGCCTCACAAGGATATAACACACCACACATGCCACTAATCAAGTTCCACGGATGGGTGAGCACATTTCACATGTTGGCGAGGACGGGCGCAGTGATAAATATTGCCGACATAACCATCAGGGGGAGGTATGAGGAAAATTATCACTATGCAGCTCCTTGTTTGTAGGTTTGCGTGCGACTCCAAAAGCCTCATAAGGGACGATATTTTTCAATGAAGTCGTAACTACACGTAACATCACATTGTAAGCATTGCTGGTCTCTTGTAAACATCAGGAGCCGAAGTTTCACATTGTAGGTAGTATGAAAAACGACACATTGGTAATCTGTGTTAAGCATGAGCTCATGGTTCAACAGCCCGCAAGGGTTGTAGCCTGCATCGCAGCCTTCCCTAAACAATGGCACTATTCGCCCTGTGAAAGGAGCAGTCACCCTGCTGATCAGTTCACCCGTTACACCTATGCTCTTTCCCTCGCTACCCGGGTACGATGCACCCGTGCTACGCTGAAAACCGAAGGTGCTTGGTTCGCCTGACGACCCCGCCGATCGCACACCAGCCACATGAAGGACGTAGCCGAAGGAAACAGCCTAACGGTAAAGCAACTGAGACTCTCCAGCAACCCGACTGAACTCGGTAACCCGAGGACTGAATTTCCAAACTTCGACAGCAGGACGGCAGGCTCGTGTTAACACTGTGCCACAAACAGAAATTTGTTGGAAATGTGACCAAATGGCCAACTGCTTAAGCGCACTTCGATAAACAATCTCAAGGTGATCAAATACGTGTTTGCAGGCTCGTGTCTGCATGCCACCAGCCTTCCAACCAGTAAGCAGTGAATGATATCACTTTAATGCAGCAATTCCACCCGGTTCGCTGAGAGAAGGACGACGATGTCTACAACACAACCACGGCAACCAGCAGAACATAAACTGCACAGACTTTCCACAGCACTATCCCTGGTCACGGCAGACGATTTGTCGTGCCCAGAACCCGCCTCACCGAACATGCACGCCGGCCGAGTGAAAACGTTCCGATAAGGAAAGCATGACTTTCTCGGCTGGCGGACACGATAAATGAGCGGCAGCTGGCGTCATGAAGGGCCGATGAGGGGAGCCAGAGCGCGGAGGCTAAACGACGATAAGCGTTCGTAATGGCAGGGGGCACCATTACGTAAATTTGCTTATTAGGGACGGCTGGGTTGCCTGTTGGTTGTGATAAACACGCTACCTCCGATTGTCCCGTGTTTTTCGACCAAATGAAGTCTAACGATTTCGAGTGCACGTATTCACGAGGGAAAAACCGACGATCAGGGGTTAATGCGCAGATCCAGGCATTTAACCCACGAGCCGCTGGGGGGGGGGGGGGGCATAAAGTTGCCCCCCCCCCCTTTACGTTTTGTGAAATATCTCCGAAACCTGATGAGCTACGAACGTGAAACTTGGCATAGCTTCAAATGAATACCTAGGCAATGTTTGAGGAAAGTTTGGTAGTTGCAGCACCTAAGATGACGTCACAGTGACGTCATAAAGTTTTGTCGTTTTCCGATATGGACCGTTTCTGATGACGTTGAGCATGAAACTCAACTGTAAATGAACTAGACAGCACCTGCTGTCATCCTAAAACATCTAACTACACTTCCATCTAGTTTGCAAATCTATAATTTCACTTATGACGTCACTGTGACGTCATTTCGAATGGGATCGACACCAAATTTGGACACAACCTCGGCTAGGCATTCAGGAAGATGTGTGCAAAGTTTCGCCTCTCCATCTCATCGCGTTGCGACGATATCGTCGCAGAAGGAAGTAAAGGGGGGGCAACTATATGCCCCCCCCCCCCCCCCCCAGCGGCCGGCGGGTGGCGCGGAGGCCCAGCGGCCGCCGGGTTAAACCATTGCCAGAGTTCGGAAATTTCTTTAAAAATCCAAGCAGACGGCAGAATTTCCTGTCGGAGCCCGGGAGGTTGAGGTTCCCGAACAGCAAACAACGTCCAGCTGCGCTCACAAAATTACATACATCTGATCTGAAACACGACCACCGCCACTAACCGTTCGCAGCCTGTCCCAAGGCCAGGAGCAGCCAGAGCAGAAGACCAAACCAGAACGGTGGCCAGGCTCCCGCAGTCGGGAGCGAAAGGGTAGGTAAGTGAATGCAGCTTCAGGAAATATCCATATCCGAGTACCAGCTTCCACGGATCTTACCTAACCATTTTCCCTGCACATCACACATCCAATCGCATGCAGACCACATCTCTCGCTCCTCCAGGCGCCTGAACGCCCCATCCCCGTCCCCCTCCCGCCCACCCCGACCGCCACTCGGCCGGGGACGCACCTTGAAGCAGGAGGCGCGGTAGAGTAGCTGTACCACGTGACCGATGCTGGTCTTGGACGCCTGCGGGAAGTGCGGCTCCAGGCGCTGGACGACGAACATGACGAGCACCTTGCGGGAGAGGGCGTACCCCTCCTCCAGGGCCAGCAGCACCAGGCGCAGCACCTCCTCCTGCATGGCTGCAGGGGCGGGGGGGGGGGGGTCGTCAGGGGGAGGGGCATCGGGAGGAGAACGGCGAGGTATTGGGCGGGGGAAGGGTGTTTCTAAACGGAAAATGGAAACTTCCAGGAAGCTCCAGTAAGCACTTCAGCGCAAAACAGATAAGACACGAAACAATAGAACCGATGACGGCTACTTAACTACATTCATGCTATCCGAATTCCTGGGTTCAGATAGCTATGATTCGAGTTTGGTGTGATTTCACAATACGCGCAGTGTTGAGAAAGGGCATCAATTCGTGTGATCAGAAACCGTCTCAGCGCAGCGATTCTAGGTTACAAACAGGAAACTTGCACAGTCATTGCTCAACTTCGATGCAGAAGGCTGATCAATGACCACACTCTATCATACTAGTTATTTCCAGTTCGAAGAACACTATCCGCAAAGGAAGTCCGGGAAGAACTCATTTCCACAGTCTCAACAACAACAGCTAGTAAACACTATAAGGAAATGTTGCAAGTGACTGGCGAGCACATCGAATATGGCCTTTTCTTGTTGTGTTACAAACACACTTAAAATGTAAAGGAGCATGTAATTTCCATTATCACTTCCCACCAACCGATATTCGTCAACGACACTAAAGTATACTACCGTGAGATCCACTACCGTCCCCTGTCGCTGCCACCGATCGCCCCCCCCCCCCCCATCATAGGTGGAGAATTGTGACCAGCTGGGGGTGCTCGGGCGCAGCAAATCCGCCGCCGCCTAGCGGTGACCTTGACCCGCGCCGCCCGGCCGCGGCTCCAAAGCCAAGCCGGCGTGGCCGGCGTGGAATTGGGAGAGCTCGAGCACCCCCAGTCCAGCACAATCCTCCACCCGTGCCCCCCATCCCGCTGCTGCCGATCTTCCCCTGCCGCCCGTCCGTCCACCCCGCTGCCGCCCTGTCCGCCCACTGCTCACCGGGCCCGAGGAACTGGCAGCCGCGCGCGCGCACAGCCGCCCACAGGTTGGCCGACAGCTGTGCCGGGTTCTGGTGATGCAGGATCAGCTCCGTGACGGTCCGTTCGCCCAGCGAGCGGCACGCGCGCAGCGCCCGGCTGCGGCCCTCCGGCTCCAGCAGCTGACATGTGACGATCGTCACCAGCTTCCGCTGCATCGAGCGCGAGAGAACGCTGGGCCCGCCGGCGCCGCCGCCCGACCCGCCACCTGGCGGAGAGACGGGGGGAAGTTGTAAGTGGTAGGTGGCGGACAGATCGGTGGAATGAATGAACGAACGAGCAATGACACGTCGATGAGGTAATCCAATGCGGTTCACAATGCTGAGTGGGAAGCCACACTCGCGTAGAACTATGGTTTCTCACGTCAGTTGACATGGTAGTGGTGCCACTGACAGGGAGTAGCGTTAATATTTCTGAACATACTTTACATTGTTTTTTTTTCTACAATTGTCACAGTCAAGCTATGACAGAAACAATTATTGAGCACTGACAAGGAAAACATGTATGACTGCTTCATATGAAGCCGTTGGTTTGAGGACACTTTAACAATGCGCGATTGGTGCCGATGTCGCCTACTGGTGTCATTAATCTATATATATATATATATATATATATATATATATATATATATATATATATATATATATATATATAATATGACCCCTATTTACCAAAATTACACGGCTCACCATCTGACAGCACTCCGCTGAAGTTCACCGGCGAGTCACTCACATTACATCATAGTGATTTAGTCAGAGAAGCTACCCTGACAACATGTTACGGTAACCGACCGGCAGAGAGCCGAGCGCTGTCAGAGCGGTCAGAACGCACACGACACCAGCCATCGGTACCGAGCCGGCTGTGGAGGGCGTGCGGTGAGTCCAGTCACCCAGCCCTGACTCACAGAGACGGCGTGTGGTCACTGCCCCTAGGTACACGCCGTCTCTGTGAGTTCTCCCGATCTCCATAGACCCTTTCTCCCACAGTTCTTCATAGACTAAAAAATCTTCAATTATGGTCCCAATGGACGGCAGGGACGTGTGCGTGGCGCGTGCCCCCTAAGGGCTATACTGTATACCACCAGTATAACGCCTTATGGGCGACTAACGGAGCGAGCGAGAGGGTGAGCCTTGCACGTGCGAAAGTTCGAGGGGGTACCTCCAGCTGACTTGTGCACGGCACCCTACTAACCGGTCTCTAGCGATGTGCCAAATTTGAGCACAATCGGCCCAGCCGTTCTCGAGATCTGGAATCGGCACCCTGCACGTGCGCACGTGCAAAATGGGTCCCAACTGACTTTTGCACGGCACCCTACTAACCGGTCCCTAACCATGTGCCAAATTTGAGCGCCATCGGTCCAGCCGTTCTCGAGATTTGGAATCGACCCCTGCACGTGCGCACGTGCGGCAGCACCCCAACTCTGGCACATGGATATGCATTGCTTAGTGGGTGCCTACCTACATGCCAACTTTCAGCGCAATCGGCCAAGTAGTTACCGAGATATTGCAACAATTACAAAAGTGACACCTCTTCGATTTGCACGTGGCATGTGCATAAGGGGTCACCCACATGCATCGGCAATAGTCCAATACTTGGTAGAAGGAATGAAGCTACCCTACAAAAATTACCGCGTGTAAATCGGTCAAGTGGTTGCTGAGATATAAGCCTCGCAAAAGCGTGACCACGGCCGGCCGGCCGGCCGCTCATACTCAGAAATTTCCGTTAATCTAAGGAAAGACTACGCTCGCTTCGCTCGCTCCGTAATAACTCTACTGATCTAAGGGAAACCTTACAACCAGTATAGCGCCTTTTGGGGCGACTAACGGAGCGAGCGAGAGGGTGAGCCTTGCACGTGCGAAATTGCGAGGGGGTACCTCCAACTGACTTGTGCACGGCACCCTTCTAACCGGTCTCTAGCGATGTGCCAAATTTGGGCACAATCGGCCCAGCCGTTCTCGAGATCTGGAAGCGGCACCCTGCACGTGCGCACGTGCAAAATGGGTCCCAACTGACTTGTGCACGGCACCCTACTAACCGGTCCCTAACTGTGTACCAAATTTGAGCGCAATCGGTCGAGCCGTTCTCGAGATCTGGAAACGACCCCTGCACGTGCGCACGTGCAGCAGCGCCCCAACTCTGACACATGGATATGCAGTGCCTAGTGGGTGCCTACCTACATGCCAACTTTCAGCGCAATCGGCCAAGTAGTTACCGAGATATTGCAACAATTACAAAACGGACACCTCTTCGTTTTGCACGTGGCACGTGCATAAGGGGTCACCCACATGCATCAGGAATAGTCCAATACTTGGTAGAAGGAATGAAGCTACCCTACAAAAATTACCGCGTGTAAATCGGTCAAGTGGTTGCTGAGATATAAGCCTCGCAAAAGCGTCCGCACGGCCGGCCGGCCGGCCGGCCGGCCGCTCATACTCAGAAATTTCCGTTATTCTACGTAAGACTCCGCTCGCTTCGCTCGCTCCGTAATTACGTAAATATGAGCAATATCCATACACAGGAAAACGGAAAGCCGATCAAACTCGAACAGATACGGAACGGAAAAAATGACCCAGCCTTTACATAGCTGTTGTTTCAACTTTCAGCCCATCTCGACTAAGCGTCACGAGGGGCATACCAGTGTATTGCATACCAGTGTATTTTGACATTTCGAGCTGGATACTGTTACCATCCGGAAGTGCGTAATACACTCGCAGTTTTTGGAAATATTTTCAATAACCGAGTGCGGCTCGGGATTATTTTTACAACTACATACATCACGCAGTCGCGTCAGCATGATTACGTTTTCCCTGGAAACAGGACAAAACTGGTTTTGCGACCGCTCGTAACCAGCCAGTAGCGTTTCCGACGTCGTATGGGTGACGCGAAGATTACGTGGCATGCTGCACAAGTGTACAATGTAATAGAGTTACACATCACCTACATGGCGAGGATCACTGCTTAGGACTCCTGACTGATATCTCTGACTGTTGTCCACTGATGGCAGGCTCACCAGGCCAGCAATACACGGTGGAGGACTAGTAACCGAACCGTTGGCAGACCGTCTTCACCACGGCGTATCGATCGTATCGCATCTCCCGCGGCACATACACCGTGCTACAACGACAGCCAAACAGCTCGGCAACTCTCATGGTCCAGGGGATGTCTTTAGCCGCTTTGGCAGATAGCGACGATGTCGGGTTTTCAAAAAATAATAATAAATAAATAAATAAATAAATAAATAAATAAAAATCAGCATTACTTCCATGAGGAGTACGAAATTTGTACTGAAAAGATTATCTCCCAGGCTGTCAATTCATGATTGACATGTGTGATGCGCTGGTAATCAATCAGCCGATCTCGTCACGGGGGCTAGCAGCTGGGGGGGGGGGGGGGGGGTGTGCAAGGGTGTCAATCATACTAGGCCAAGCCAGGTTAAATAATTGACAACCATAGAGATCGACATAACTTCCTACCCTGGACTGAAACAACATGTAACCTTAACAACAAGCCTGCCAACACAAGGTTCGATATTTGTATCGACTATTAGAGGGACGTCCGCTGTTTGCATCCCCCAAGAATACCTCTAATATTCTCGAGACCACCCATGACACACTGCCACCCGCCCCGGTGTCGGCCCGTACGCACCTGGTGGCAGCGGTTTCAGGAAGAGGGCAAGCTCCTCAATGCAGCGAATGGCGCTCAGGTAGGCCTGCTGCTCGTGCGGCGCCAGGCTGGAGGGCGGCGCCTGCGGCCGGGCCACCTCCCCGGCGGTGACCAGCTGCAGCAACGCCCAGTTGAGCGGCAGCTGCTCCAGGTCCAGACCGATCACAGACTGTGGCACGGCCGGGGGCAGGGTCAGAGGTCAGAGAGGTAGGGTTCAGAGTTCAGAGGTCGACCGATCACCGACTGTGGGACAGCCAGAGCGGGGTCAGGTCAGCCAATCCCCGACTGGAGCACAGACAACAGGGTCACAGGTCAGTACGGACAGGGTCAGAGGTCAGCGGGCCCGATCACCGACTCGGGCACGGGCGAGAGGGTCACACGTCAGTCAAATCACCGACTGCGGTACGGGCACGGTCAGAGAGACAGGTCAAAGAGACTTTGTCGCGGCCATCGTCAACAACATCAATGATATTATGAAGGGGACACACTATAGATTGGTATGTTATCCATACACATGATACAGGGCCAAACAGTTTGGGTGACCGGTGGTTTGTGTGGTTTTCATGCCCATACCGGAGCTGGGCAAAACTGCTTATTGGCGTGCTTGGATGTTAAGTTGCTTTTTCAGCCCGTCTCATTGCTTTCATCTACACCAAACACGTAATTTTGATTGCACCTGACTGGCATTCCTGATGCTCATGCATGGATGTGGTCATCACAAGCTAGAAGTGAGCAGTTATTCAAATGAACTCAATGACCCTCAACTTCAATCTATGATAAGTTTCTATGAATGTGTCAAATCCACCCTTATCTCTCAAGGTCAAGTTTGGCTAGATGTCAATTTGCAGAATGTTACCTAACTTTTGTTAGCATGTCCAATGTACTTGAAAATGATTTAAAACAAGCATTTAGATGTTTTGTCCTCTGTCTCTAACTTGTGTGTAGGTACACCTCTGCTTGAGGGTAACACAGTTTTGTGTAAATCCAAATTGCATATCAATATGTATCCTAAGACTGTTTGCTTAGTTGATACCCATATGAAGGAAGTAATTCAACTTGTACATAACTAATCCAGATGTTTATTAGAGGGAAAACTGTCACTAAGCAGGGCTACAATCACTCAATGGCCATCACATAGCAGCATGTCAATCCTAAGGCAACTGATAAATAGATTAGACCAGCAATGTGGGATTATCTGACTAGCATGATATCTAACGTACACCAACATGCAGATCAGCTTTAGGAACCATACCTGATCGAAAGGGCAGCGTTTTCTGTGCAGCTGCTGCAGACATGTTTTACAGATGGTGTGGCCGCAGCTTAGGCTGACGGGGCCCCTGTCCCTGTTGAACTCAAACAGACAAATGGGACAGGTAAGGAACTCCGTCCACTGTGGTCCCTGAATCGGCATGCTGGCTGCTGTTGAGCTCTCAGCCCAATGTTGAGATAAATCAGGTCTTGCCCACTGATCTATTCATTGTTGTTCAGGAGCTCCACAACCTGTAACATGTGCAACATTATCAACACAACAAGAAAACACCAATTTGAAAACTGCTAGTTTGGCTTGATAATACTGGACTCGGTCAGCTCCGAAATGAACATCCTCTTTTTCAAATCAACAGGTGATTAATGAACATAAGTTGGAGTAAGCAGCAAGGCATCTTTACGATTGACGTCTACCGTCCTAATGTGACATCAATTTCACAAAATAATACTACCTGATATAAAAACTCAATGAATCATCTATAGAAGTGTCAAAACCAATATCTTAATATATTTATATGTATCTATTTACAGGATAAATCAATTCAACAATTCACACATCCGACCTACTAATACACACAAAGATATATGCAATAATTTATAAAAACACTCACACACTTCTCAGAGAAATGTGTGTGCTCGACATTGAACCACTTACTTCAAGGACAACGTTATTCTTGTAATGCTGGAAAAGAAATTGCTATGATGACAAAATAAGTAAAATCAACGCAAATCACTGTAAATAAGTTTTTGCTATACAATGGGGTGAGACGGGATATTTTGTGAATGAAAAATGTTGTGAAAAACATAAAATTGACAATTTGAAAGACAACTATAAGGCTAAAAGGGAAAATAAAGAAATAAGACAGTTTTCAATGCTTGTTTTAATGACGTAATTTATTAGTGATATTTTGAGAAGACCATCGTTAGTTTCTAAAATGCTTGTTCTAAAAAGGGTGGTTCCATAACGACGACATTCACGACGCATATTTTGCTTTGCTTTCGCCAATGCTTTCGCAAAAAATATTTCATTCGACATTTTCGCTTTTTTTTCAAAATGTACTCTACTATTTGTCATCATCATCATCAAATATGTGTTTCGAATCTTTGTTCTGGTACTATCGTCCATCGAAAGGCATGAATAACGTCAAAAATATTTTTTGTACCAGATTTTGTCAACAACAGCTGACGAAAGCTAGAGAGATGCAAAAGGAAGGAGTCGTCACTGCACACAGGGACGAAAAAGCAATCGTAATTCGCAATCCCCCCAATTCGCGGATCGCATACATTGCAATCTCAATCCACTCAATCCTCTGATTGTGTTTTGGGGAGTGTCGTGTTGGTGGGGTTACTAGCAAGTTGGCTTCTAGCATTATTAGCCTAGCACATTCGTGTATGCCAGATAATAGCTTGAATTTCAGCCCACCTTGAATTGCGTGTTTGTGTTTCACGTCTTCATTGATTCTGACAGGTAATTACTATGAAAGCATGTGTCCATTCCCTTTAGAGTTAAGACCTAAGGGCTCTCCAGTGGTCATATGTGATAAGCATGATGCTGACTTCAGTACTTCCAACCTGTTACTAGTTACTAGGTACTTCATACATGGATTCTCACCTGTCATTGGTCAAGTGCATGGTCATGCCGTGTTCCGCACCCTTCCACCAATGGGCAACAATAGTTCACAATATTGGATGTGGTGTGTCCTGAATGCTGATATGAAGATCACTCAGTAGCCCTTCTATGTCTATTTCAAACAGCACACCTGAAGTACTAGCACCCATACACACCAACACACACCTATCAGTAGGCGGAACTATGGTCAAGCGTACCCATTTTCGGGAGCGCATTTTCGTTCCCATGTTTGGGAACGATAAACCCAAATATGGGAACGCCATGTAGGCATTATTTAAAACAAGAAAAAGAACCGTTAAATGACGTCCAAAAAATATAAAACGATCGTGAACCGCCTGATAGTTGTCTCAATATTGTTGGGAAAGAGTTTGATATTGTAAGGCCCATCGTAGTTTCAAATCGTTCCCCTATTTCTAAAGCAGTCCATCACCCGGGCCGCGAGCCCAAATTTGGGAACGCTCTCGTACACTGGCGCTGCAAGCGTTCCTTATTATGGGAACGGCGTACCCAAAATTGGGAACGATTTCACCGACGCCTTTCAGGGGCTCTTTTCATTAACAAGCATCACGTCCAACGCCGCAAATTATTGTTAACGCAACAATCATCAGATGACCTTTCCGGCAAGACCGTTGCATGTTTCGCCCGGTCTTCTGCGCTTTTATTCCCGTCGATCTCGCAGCGGGCACGCCCCCCTCTGCAGGATTACGTAATCCACAACGCTCAGCAATGTTCAACAAGGTCTTCCATACCTATATCCACCGTCCGCGCCGAGGGTGGAGACATGTCAAGCACCTGTCTGCTAATCACCGAGAGTTGACGAGCACAAGAAGTATCCAAAAATGGGAACGCTGAATATGTTACACCCTCAAAACACCTAGTCCCAATGAAAATCTAGTTTTTTCCTTTCTTAATGAGTGTAAGTGGCAAAAGGCCTGGTAGGATGGGCACGAGGAATGATCGAAATCAGCATAAAAATTATAAATAAGCCACACAGAGCGACCTATATCAGAGAAATTCCCACCAAACGATCATGCTTAGAAACGCCGAAGACAAAAACCACGCTCATGACGCTGCTTATAAAACAACGCTAAACAGCTAGCATCCAAATAAAATATGTCTTTCAGGGCTGATAAAATACAGCTGAATGATTTTAAACCACTGAAACTGAGTTTACAACAGTAGTTCGGTAAAATCACTGACGTTCCACGCGGTCGATCGCCCCGAGACCAAAAGTCAACAATATTACCTCGGGACTGTCCGCGTGTTCGCTTGCATATGTCAGCATCTGGTGTCGCTAGAATGAAACTTCATAACCAGAGGGCTGTTCACGGGCCCTGTGTGCGGTCGGACCGCACACAGCCTCCAAGCTCCGCCCACTGCGTCCCTACGTCAGCCTTCCGTCACCGCACACAGCGATCGCTGTGGCCGGTCGGGACTGGCCACAGCGGACCGTCCACCGCACGCAGCCGTGACGTCAGAGCCGCCTACCCATCCCCTACCCCCACGCCTGCTGGACGCACCGCACACAGCGCACGCAGCAGTGTGCGGTGCCCGTGAACACCCCTCAGGCGAAAATTATTATACTTGACCTCAAAATGTAAAAAATGCTTCATTTTCCTTAAAATTGCATGTTAAATGTCGTATAACCCATATTTCCACCATTCTGTCATTTTTAAAAAATCATTAAAAATATCATTCCACGGTCAATTTCCTTGTTCCACGGTCAGATTAAAGATAACTTTATGGAAATTTAGTAGATACTTAAATCAGCGTGCACTTTTTTGGGACGTGATGCACTTTTGAGTTTTAGTGGGCGAACGGCCGAAAAATTGCCTTCCGTTCTCATAAATGGGAACGCCCGTTCCCATATTTGGGAACTCCGTTCCCAAAAATGGGAACGTTCCTATATTTGGGTACTCATGACCATAGTTCCGCCTACTGCTATGGCGAGTAGGTATACCTGGACCCAATCTTACCAAATGCCATGAATTTCTTGTTCACTGCATTTGGTAACATTTAGAACTATTCCACACTCTTTTATTCATTCATTCACATTCATAATCATTCACACTATCAAAATTACTGGGCAAGATTAGCTGAATGTGAATAAAAAAGATATCTTTGATATCAGTGCTGTAAAATCCGGCCAGTGCTGCCAAATCCTATTTACGGCATTGGTAAGATTGGGCCCTTGATCCAGTGACCAATGTTCCAATTTTTTATTTGGGTGACAAATGACATCCAAATGAAAATCATTTGACACTTTCACACCCACCTGTACCAATTTTCAATAGCCCATTTTCCATTCCCAATTTTACCAAGAAAAAACATTTGCATGGATGGTTGTTTTTAGTTTTACTTCCTACAATCATTATACCAATTATCAGCCTTGCATTATTTTTTGTTATGGATCCTTTCCCACTTTTTGGTCTTATCTAACTGCCAATTTCCACTCTCATCCCTTTCCAGTGAGATATTTTCCTCTGACAAGCAAGCCAAAATACAATTTTGGGATGCTGTTGGTAACACCTTGGAGAGATGAATGTGAACACAGAGTCCTAGTCACCAGCTTTACCTAAGCAGTTTTGGTTTAGACCTGTCACCAGTGCTACAAATAGTGGAACTTTTGGATGGCAAACAACTTTATTTTGGAAGTTTTGTCAGAAAACAATATAATTATTCATATCATATAAGTAATAGCTAATGATATTTTATTTTGCATGATTTTCTGTTTGTAGTGGGTTTTCATTTTTAATTTATTGTATGGTGGAAGCATCCCCAGGATCAAAGCATTTCAAGTTTGAAAAAAACTTATGCTGCTGCCATAGCTTGGCATCCATTATCTATATCAATATTGTAAAAATTATAGCTCCAGGGGGCCAGACCACCTAAGCTCAGGTTGGGGTGATCAAGCCATGTAAAATGACCTCACTCCAGGAATTTATAAATGCTTGCTGTAGCCATTAGCCGCACAGTTGTTTTTACTGGCAGCTTGGTATCCACAATTCAATCCTGTGACTCCCAGTTTCATCCTTTGGAGCTGAAGTTCATATTCCATACTAACTGACTGCCCATACACAAAGGGCTGCCCATCTTTAAAATAAGTAAGTTGCAGTATAAAAACACTTGCCAGACATTTTTCAACATTGGTTAAATGCAGCCAATTCATAAACATTGCACTTCTCTCAGCTTATTGTTTCTGATGCTGACATGCTCTCTGATTTCAGTTTTGTAAAATCAACTCCACCATGGCGGCAGGCCCATACAACTACTCCTACATCTTTAAATATATCATCATAGGCGACATGGGTGTGGGAAAATCCTGTCTGCTTCATCAATTCACGGAAAAGAAATGTAAGTCACTTGGTGGCTCTGTGATGGAATGCCTGCTTTTGTGCTGCAAGTGAATATTTCAGTTTGTGCTCAGCAAGTGTTTCAATTGTAACTCGAATAGGCATTTAGTATGTAATGTATACAGCGTGCTAAACATTGTGATTATCATAAAAACGAGAAGTTGGTCAGTGCCATCATTCGTGTATCTATTACACAACATTGCATCGAGACTCAACCAACAAACATGCAGGCATGTATATCTGCGCGCACAAAGATCATCTCCGCCCTCCCCCACGGAGTACGCCCGTCGCTCTGACTCTGCCCATCCGCCCGTCGCTCTGACCAGTTATGGCCGACTGTCCGCACACCATCGGCGTGGAGTTCGGAACCCGCATCATCGAGGTCAGTGGACAGAAGATCAAACTGCAAATCTGGGACACGGCCGGTCAGGAGCGCTTCCGGGCCGTCACAAGGTCAGTGGCGGGCTATATGGTGGGGTCACAAGGTCAGTGGCGGGGGTCACATAGTGGGGTTAAAAGGTCAGTGGGGGGTGACATAATGGGGTTATAAGGTCAGTGGCGGGTGATATAGGGGGGTCATAAGGTGTCATGGGGGAGGGTTGATGGAGTGGGTCACAACTCACAAGGTCAGTGGTGGGTGATGTAT